AAAAAGCAGCTCTATCAAATTACATAGTGGTGCAGTAACACATGAGCATGTTAAGTCAGTTAACTGTAAACTTTGGAACTGAGGAGGTTGTGGAGTTATTTTTAAACTGTTTGATAAATCCTGTGAACTCAAATTGAATGGTACAGCACCAACCAAACCTGAAATATGATTTACTACTTTGACAGCATGGGAAATTAAAAAAAAAAAGGCCAACCATTTGATTTGTTGAGTGATTTTTCTCTGAAACAAATTATTTTCTTCTTATAAAATAATAGAAAATAAATATTCCCAAAGCGTGTGTAATTTTATGTGTGTTGGAGGGTATTAGGGGGGATAGTGTGGCTTTATGAGTCCAAGATTATTACATAATACTACTTCTGTGGGGATCACTAGAGTCATACCTGTGTTATCAGTGAGCTAATAAGGTTGTAAGTCTAATCTTTGTTTGTTTTGAGTCTGAATTTTTAAGACCTTGAACTGCACGGGACAGAAAAAAAGCGCTTTTATGGCAACAGATGTTGACTATTCAAACTATTCCCAGTTAGAAATCTAACCCATGACATTTTTATTTCTGGATATATAAAACACTTTCAAAGCACAGTGCCAGAAGTCAAAGTACCCGTACCTGGCATGCTCTTGATGGCAAGGTTCATGGGGACAAATTATTTGAACTATTTCAGTTACTGGTTGAAAGAGCTATTTCTGTTAGAGAACAAACTCTCAGGACCACTTGGTTGGTTAAAAATGTGTTAATGAAAGAGGGGTCATTTTATACTTCCAGTTACACAGCAATTAAGAATATCATTTTTAAAAGTTGATGTTCTTGAAGTTTTCTTATAAATTGAATTTTAAAAATGTTTCAGCGAAGCACAGAAAAGTAGATGGGAGATTTAGTTGAATGGCAAAAGCTGTTCATGTCTTTCATGATATCTTCAACAGGTCCATAGCCAGCAGTTTCTAAAGGGGGGTTATTTTTCTGAAGAAGTGGACTTTTTAAATTGAAACTTTTGTGTAGATCAAATTTTACCCAGAAAAGGTCTATTTTGGACAAAAAGGGTTGTTCTTTCAGACCCCAGACCCCCCTGACTATGGGCCTGTTCAATCCACATTGAAATATAGCGGCTCTATATTTCTCCTTTCAGAGGGTTGTATATCACCATTAATGACTTGGGTCATGTCTATGAGATACTGTGTAACTGGCCTGAGAGAAAAATATCAGTAAGAAACAATTTATTCAGTAAAAACAAAAGCTCTTTATATTGACATGCAATATTTATGCAGTTAAGATAGAATGGCAAAATTCAAACATATTGTCCTAAATCATTGTTATCAGTTGTTATAAAATTTTGTCAATTGTTATCAGTGACATTACTGGTTTAGCTATAGTATTGGTATAATATACATTTGTATATATGCTTTTAAAGTAAAGTTTACTTGCATGTTCATCATAGCTTAATACTGTAAAAGTTTTGCCTGAACCAGTTATGCTTTGTTACCTTTGTTACCTGTCACAATAGCAGACAGTTTTTTTATGGATTTTTTTTTCATTTTTAAAGCATTTGCACAGTATATACAGGGTGGTCCATAAAAAACAACCTATTTCACTTTCCATCTCAATCTTGATACAGTTATTACAGATATTTCCAACTTTCTTGATGATTGAAATTTGATGATGATTGAAATTCGAGTACTTAAAAGTTAACCAATTTCTGCAGAATTTGCAAGGATAAAATTGTCATCCTTATGGAACAATTTGGTTAAAAAGTTGGAAATATCAATATTGAGATGGAATTTAAAATTGGCCATTTTTTATGGACCACCCTTTATATAGTAACAGATGCTCAGATTTTAGTATATTATTTCCTAATTTCCCCCTCCAGGTCATAGTAGTGACGGATGGTGAGCGTATCCTGGGTCTTGGAGACCTGGGAGCCCAAGGGATGGGAATTCCTGTAGGGAAACTGTCCCTCTATACCGCCTGTGCTGGGGTGGACCCACAACACTGTCTGCCTATTGTTATTGATGTTGGCACTGACAATGAAGTGAGTATCTTTTTTCTGTCCATTGTCATTGATGTCGGCTCTGACAATGAAGTGAGTGTCAATTTTCTGCCCATTGTCATTGATGTCGGCACTGACAATGAAGTGATTATCAATTTTCTACCCACTGTCATTGATGTCGGCACTGACAATGAAGTGAGTGTCAATTTTCTGCCCATTGTCATTGATGTCGGCACTGTCTGTAACTGCAGAGATCATGTTTGTGATTATTTTGTAAACCTGATGACTAGACCCAGAAGATGATCACATGTCCCAATATTTACCTTAGTGATCCAGGCTATCCAGCTATGCCAGGGACACACAGACATGGAGTGGGTCAGTCAGTGAAACTGTCATTAGGTGCAGGGTCATATCCAACACACAAGCTTGATTAGATTACTTAATTTTTTATGTGGTGTACAGCAAGTACATGTGAGAAATGGGAGCTATTTGTGAGCTGAGTGTTATAGGGAAATAGATTCTGGCATTTTTATTGCAGAACTGTAAAATAGAATATCAGTGGCTCTCACTGCTTTCGATTTAAGAAATTGATAAATTGATTTAATACACACAGTAAACTTAGAATTACTTAAAATTACATGTCTTGGCTTTCTTCGTCCCAAATATGCCCATGAAATACAATACTGCTGCTGTGCTGAATTATGCCCTGATTTGGGGAGCCTTTTGATGCACAGTAAAATCTTCAATCTAGGGAGTTTCACCCCTCATGATTATGATCCAATAGCATCAGAAAGATTGGTAGGAATACAATTTTTTATCTATACGTAAACACGTATATTTCTATCCCTGCAGACCCTGCTGAAGGACCCGCTGTACATTGGACTGCCCCAGAAGAGAACGCGCGGAGAGAAGTATGACCAGCTGATCGAGGAATTCATGCAGGCAGTGGTGAAGAGGTAAGTGTGGAATATGGGATGTTTTAACTGAAAAATAAATGCACCATTTAATACTTGATTGTCATGTTTGTGAGAAGAATTTTGAATGAAAATATCATTTTTAGTAAAAAAAAATATTGTCTGGTATTTGATCTGTATTAGATATCATGAAAAAAGCACTATTTTTCATAGCCAGAGTACATTTATGTCATACCACAGTGCTCAGGAAATTTATTGCTGATGTGGTATATTTATATATAAATATATATTTATTGGCTGAAAGAGTCTTAATCTTATCTTAGTCTTATCTAAAGAACAAGCATGGGCTTGAGTTTAAATTTACTGCTTGCCAGCTGCCTCTTGCTTTTTATCAGTGAATAAAAAATGAAGTGTGATGAGATATGATTTCAGGTTTGGACAGAATACTCTGATACAGTTTGAGGACTTTGGTAATTCCAACGCTTTCCGCTTCCTGGAGAAATATAGAGGGCAATACTGTACCTTCAATGATGATATACAAGGTAATAACTTCCCTAAATGCTGAGGGACAAAAACTTGAGGGACCTTTTGATTTAGACAATGTGAAACAACTTTTTTTTCTGTTGTCATATGTCTTACTTATTGTCATATAGACACATTGTTTAACCTACATTTGCTAATTCTGAGAGGTATTTAAATATGGTAAAGATATTGAAAGGTCTTATCTTAGTTCATGCAATTTTAAAGAAGTGCTACATATTTTACATTATATTAAAATATCAACTCGAAAGAGTCTTTCACACTGGAGTACACTGACATTGTATACTATAGGCACAGCGGCAGTGGCAGTGGCTGGGGTGTTAGCAAGTCTGAAGATCACAGGAAAGAAATTGTCAGAAAATATCATCCTCTTCCAGGGAGCTGGAGAGGTGAGCATGGTAGAAAGTTTGGTTATAATAATCTAGCGATTTTTTTTTTTGCATCAATGAAATTAACATTTCTTTGAAAGGCGTGCCAGTTTTTGTTCTTTATGTTCACTGAATATCTTGGGTCTTGAAACTAGGGGTCTTTTGTATGCATGGGTGAAAATTTTCAGGATATATGCCTGATTTGAGGATTTCCATTCTTCATTTTGATTGTCTTTTCCATATGGTCTTTTAAGATTTAAATTGCAATGAGAAATTGCAAACTCATTTTTAGGATTTTCATTTTTTACAACTGTCGCCCATGTGTTTCTGACTTTCAAGAACCATTTCATCCCTGTGCTATACCATTCCAGGCTTCTATAGGCATAGCTCACCTGCTGATGAAGGCTATGAAGGAGGAAGACAGCTCAGAGGAAGAGGCCCTCAGTAAACTGTGGATGGTGGACTCTAAGGGACTGCTGACACAGGTTGGTACTAGCTTTACACCTGCCTACATCCCCCCCCCCCCCATCCTCCTCACCCACTCCCTCTTCAAAAGAAATACCAGAGAAGCCTTCCCAAAACATATAATCTTTTTATCTTTATTAAAATTTTTACTGGTCTTTGTGATCTCAAGCAGTTTAATTTTCGATAATTTCTACTATTTGTAAAATTGTGACATTTGAATGACGTTTTGCTGGGCAGGTTGTGATTGTGATGTGGTGATTGTTTTAGTTGTGACAGATGTGTTGTGTTGGGATGTGCCCAGTGAGTTTCCTTTCCATTGTCCGCTAGTGCAAATTAATCTCTTTCTTTACATAAATAACAAAACAAAATATGAATGTGACAAAAGAATTAAAGTATAAAGACAACCATGTTGTTATTGACATGCAGGGTCGCCCCAGTGGAGGTCTGACAGAACACAAGATGACGTTTACCAAGAAGTACAAGCACATGAGTAACTTGGAAGAGATTGTACGAGAGGTCAAACCCAGCATCATTATAGGTACGTGGAGTCCGGATACCCTCTTCCAGGGCGACAGATTGGTTTTTCACGAGATATGTCTTTAGATAAATATACGGTTATTTTTTCTCTGACTTTTTGAAAATTTGCCAATAATATATGCCACCCTGGTAGAGAGTCGAGTCTGGAGATAATTGAACACACAGAGAAAATCGTTTGACTGGAATTGCAATCTTTTTGATTCATTTTATTCGTTACAAAGAGAGAGAGAGAGAGAGAGAGAGAGAGAGAGAGTGAGAGAGATATCGTTCTTAATCTATCCCTGTATTTTCGTGTCCCCCAGGAGCCGCTGCTGTGCCGGGAGCTTTCACGGAGCAGATTATTAAAGACATGGCTTCGTTCAATGAGCGTCCTGTGATATTTGCCCTCAGTAACCCCACAAGTAAAGCCGAGTGCACGGCAGAGCAAGCCTACACCATCACTGAGGTAGGTCAACATTGATGGTAGGTCAACATTAAGTGCAGGTCAATTTTGCAAATAAATCATCATTGGATGCAGAGTAACCAGGTATAGGCAGGTCAATACTGCATTGTGCTGGCTCTGAATATTAAACCGACTTCTATATAACAGCGGGCCAGTAGCCAGTAATTTCAAAAGGGGGGGGGGTGCCTTTTCCTGAATAGGTGGACCTTTCATCATGAAACTGCCGTGTACCTAGATAAATTTTTACCCAGAGGAAAACCTTTTCCAACAAAAAGGGGAGTTCTTTCGAACTCCTCGAATCCCTCTGGCTACGGGCCTGTAACATGATTAACATTTGGCTCCACTGTATTTCCTAGGGTCGCTGTATATTTGCCAGCGGCAGTCCATTCCAGCCAGTGACAGTGAATGGCAAGACCCACCACCCTGGCCAGGGAAACAACGCCTACATCTTCCCCGGGGTAGGACTGGCGGCCATCTTGTGTGGAATCAGGCACATCACTGAAGATGTATTCCTTGCCACAGCAAAGGTAGGTTCCATTATCATATGTGCGGCAATTTCTGATGGTGCAAGAGGGTGCGGTGTTTGCAAAGCAACTACCAAATTACCCATTTTCAAAGGTTCATGTTCGTAATTTGGTTGCTGATAAGCACTTAGAAATGGGAATATAATGGCACTTTTTTCACCAGTTGTACAATGACACATACAGGTGCTGACATAATCGAAATTTCGTTTTCCAGTTACAGTTTCAATTAAAATTTCGAGTTAGGTTTGCCAGATATACCAACACTAAATCAGGATTAAAAAAGGCGAGTGTCGCTCATAGATGTAGCACATTGCTGTCTGATGAAACACATTTTGGTCAACATTGCACAGCACATTGCTGTCTTATACTATCGAACAACTGTCGCAATATGATATCGCAACTATCGCAATATGGTATTGACCTGGCGGTTACTTTGCAGGCTTTAGCCAACCTGGTCCAGCAGGAAGACCTGGACAGTGGCCGAGTTTATCCACCTCTCACCAAAATCAGGGACGTGTCAGCCAGCATAGCCGTGGAGATCGCCAAGTACGCCTACAAACACAATATGGCCGCCCACTACCCTGAGCCTGCCGACAAGGACGACTTTATACGCTCCCAGATGTACAGTACTGACTACTCCAGCTTTGTCCCGGACAGATGGAGCTGGCCCAAACTTTAGACGTTAGTTTGTTTCTTGGAGACAACACGTGGACATTGGGGATGGTTTCGCAGAATTGAGGGCACATACTGCATCAGCAGCTGTTCGCAAATTGTCAGTTTTTCTAGTCGTGGTGAGGAAGCCGAATGTTACCATGATTTCAAATTATCAACCAAGTCTGAATTACCGGGTCGTTTTTTTCTACTGGAACTTTGTTTGTCAAACCTGTAAAAAAACCCGGTTTATGCATATTTTATTACGCTCACAACAATTTTTGATTTTCTTTCAAAACATCTTTTTATCACATTGCTGTAATGATGGATGTTATAATGTCTAAATTATGAAAAATACAAATAATCACTTTAGTGAGGCGAGAAAACAAGTTATGGCAAATTGGATTTCTTTTCATTTTGATTTGTTTTATAATACGCAAACTGTGATCTCGAAGACGATAATGATAATGATGATGATTTCACGTTTCACCGAGTTATATACGCATTTACATGGCAACCAATTTACAGTGACAACATTGCCAAGTGATAAATTGTGATTTGTAACATTTTAATCAGTGTTTGTTTTTATTTATATTTATTATGAATATTGGACATATACATATATGGATAAAGGCCTACAGAAGTCAGTTCAACAGTATGTTTTTATTTTAACGTTTTTCTTTGTTTAAATCAATAAATTACAGTTCAGTGCAATTTTGGACTCCTTATTTATGGTTGCAGATGGTATATCTTTCACAACATATATAATGACAACAGGGAATCTGCAGTAACCGGTCTGCCAACTTGTACACTAGAAAGTAACGACCTTCTTCTAAAGAAACATACAGCATTGAATGTGCTACAGCACATTTTATTGAAATTCAAAGTTAGGAAAAACTTATCATAAAGCCTGACCACAATACACCGCTCACTTTGGCACCTCTCCGGTGTTATAAACTACGGGTGTGGACATTGTTCCGATTTCGATAGGCTGTCTTTGCGGTTGTCACATAGGCGTTAACTGGTGTGATGACGGCGACAATACCAGGAGACGACTAAAAGATTCCGACTGAGATTTCAAATAGGCTGTCAGTCTTTCCAAAAACTGCTGCAGGAGACTAATATTATCTTCCTCTTGCTGCGATGGACATTTGATGAATTTTGGTGAGCAATATTGTGATATTTAATTACTTTTTCATGGCACCGATAGAACGCTTGTAATATCGCTTTATATCTTCAAAACTTATGCGAAACCAGAAATCTTTGTGTTCATTATTTTGAGCAGCATTAAGACTGAGCTGCCCGCAAACGGTTTCTATAGTGCTCCCCACCGGATAGCCGCCATTTTCTTAGCCACGCCCTAAGATGGCGCCTGTAATCTGGCGAGTGGCGTTCCCGCTGTCTTTCTAGCAATATACGTTTTCTAACCTCGGGTCGGTGCCAGCTTGGAGTGCGGTGGCGTATAGGGGGCGCTACTGTCTGTGTGATATAATATTGGGTCGGCACTAAGTATGCAACTGGGACGCCAGGAGGCGCACGCTGTACATTAGAGGTGTCACTGCCGGGGCGAGTCGCCGCCGACCCCTGCTTTAACCCAGAGTCTGTGTCCGTTTTCCCGTTAGGGCCAGATGGACGATTTGACACCTGTATGACCGGATTGAAGACAGGGATGTAGTTTTCTTGATTTATCTGGCCCCTCCTACCGGGCCTATACCGGTGGTGTCTGCCCTCAACACGAGGGTCAGGGGTCCGCTGTCTCTGGGGCGGCCGCGTCTGGCGGTAGTACGGTCGCCGCGTGGGGTACGTTCGGCGGGGAGGTGGAGGTCGAGTCGTGGTGGTCGTGGTGGTCGCGGGAGTGGTGGTCACCGTGGTGTCTTCCTTCCCAACAAATACTTTCCACCACGGTCTGGCGGTGGTGGTTGTAGTGGTGTCGTAGTAATATGGCGTTGGAGGCCGCCTCCAGGGAGTTTGTCGCGTTGAAGTGGTCGTAATTCTCGTGGTGGTGCTGGTTGTCGAGGTTGTTGTTGGTCGTGTGGTCGTTGTAGGTGTAGTTGTTGTGGTGGTGGTGGTTGTGGTGGAGGTAGTTGTCGGAAATGGTGTGGTAGTTGTCGTCGTCGTGTCATCGTCATCGTCACCTCCAAAGAACTCCCAGAATCCTCTCTTCTCTCTGTGGACCAGAAACGACTTGGCGTCCTCCGCGCTCTGCTGCAGCCAACTGAACGGAAGGATCACCTCTGAAAACATACCGGTAAAATGAAGATATCATTAGGGCTTACGGAAGCTCTTCCCAGGGAGACTGATCTAATTGCTGGGAACAAGAAGGAAGAAAGGAAGGAACTGAAAGATATATAGAGAATGAACTATAGGGGATTCTGCCTGGATAAGTTACGGTGATTTGATCTTTATGCGTTTTTAAAATGCGGTGCAATAAGTCATATATACATCTTAAGGGTTCGCAGCGTTTTAACAATTAGAGATATATGCCTAGACTATTATGTAACATATGTGGACAATGGTCAAAGTATTTGAGGGAGACGGTCCATTCAAAACTAAATATCTTGTTTCACAGTATTCAGTTTTCTTTTTTGACATATGTGTCGATATAACAACTTCAATTTCAAATTGATGTGGTTGACCTTTAGCAAAAAGCGGACGGAAAAGAATTGTTTTGTTCTTCACAATTCGTCAAATCTGCCTCTTCCAGCTGGTTGACAACATTTTCTTGTCTTTTTATTCTACCGGTGTAGAGCCCCTACGCATGTCCCTTTGTATCCTGATTTACGGGCTCTGCCCAACCGCTCCCTTGTACGTGCTATTGTTCTGTCTCTGGCTCTCCTTCTAAGCCTGACATGTACAGGAAAGGCAGTCCTTTAGGTACGGTAGAATGTTTTCCGTTATTTTAAGCAGGAGATACTTGTCACAAATTCCCTCTTTGACACTTTTGATTAACCCTAACCTGTACTTATCAAATGAGTTTTTTTCAAAGCACTGAAATTGTTTGCATTGCAGCGCATTTTGCAGCCAAAGAAAAACAGAAGCATTCGTTTTGTAACCGTAACGCATTTTGCAACTAGTTTTATTCCTAGAGAGCTGAAATTGTTTGAAGAACTATAGAGATAAAGGTGGTAGAGGGATGGGGTACCTCGACACCAAACGCCGAATTTTCTTTTCAGTTTACCATCTATATTATGGCACACTTATTAAGCATTCATCCCCGTACATTTGTGACTTAAGTCCTTCGGAGTTACATTGCCATTATAAATATTAGGGGTGGGGTTGTTCTGGATGAATTTCTATTTTCCATGTTTTAATTTCTGTTTTCTCTTTTGCTTGCAAAATACGTTTCTTTAGCAAAATGCATTTTCACGTTTTTATTTTCAAAATGCGACCCTACAAGAAGCACCAAAAAAAGCGGTCAATTGCAAATTACGGCTCTAATGTTCCTATAAACCACGAACACACGTTTCTTATGGTGAAAATTGATTTAAAAAATTGAGCATAAATCATGTGTAGTGCTTAGCTTTCACCATCCCTTAAAAGGTACAACAGTCCTCAACATATTAACATCTGGCTCAAAAATATTTTCCCCGCGTTTACACGTCTGAATTAGGCCAATAGTTGATAAATTAGTTGAAAGAATCACCGAGATCATAATATGATATTTTTTATTTAACAAGGAACAAGTTATTAAATGGTGTTACGGACGTTTTCCCTTTGTGTCGCTTACAGTATATCTACATATATTGTTTTACTGCCATAAGAGGCTTATCATTTTCAGGGCTAAGGCTAAACAGCCGCTACTCAATGACGGCTAATTCATAATAATCTCTCTCTGCATTAAACAGAGTTAAGCATGCTCTCTCGCTCTTTCTGGTATTAAATAATATATTAAAAACTCTGAATCAGCAACACTTTCTTCTAGAGACGCCTACACTCCCCGTTGCTTTATCTGATAAAGGACGATCACTCCGGTACTTCCACTATATATCTGATCTCAGTGGAAAGTCCTTGTTTAACACCACGTCCAACAGAGCTGGAATGGGTTCGGGAGTGGTCACTGTCTGGTCAGAAATTTCACTTAATTCTATACAGGTGTGACAAGGTTTAACTAGCGGGCAGCGTCCAGATGACTTCTTTTAAGAAGTTAAAGCGTCTGATGCCTGGCCGTCAACGTTTAAGTGGCAATAAGTTTCACAAGACTACATACCTCCCAATGTGTGAGATGTGTTATATAAATCGACGGTTTTGAGAATGGGCTCCGCTATAAGGAGTTTTGTTTTTTATGTTCATTTGAATTTTACTTTTGGAAACTTTCTGCTTGCACGAGCTCCTTCGATTATGAAGATGCCTTTAACTGTCAGCACGCTTTTCTAGATAATAACTGTGCAAGATAAAAGGCGGTAAAAGCGGTGTAGTTTGGGTTTCACTTTAGTCAACTTTAAACAAAATATTGGACCTTATCCAAGGAGATGCACGTGGAAAAATATTTGAAAATAGCACTGAACAAACGTCCATATGTCCGAAGATGTTTTTCTGGAAAATAAACAACTCCCTCCTTTAGGGAGCTAAAGTAAAACGTAGTGTGTTGCAAGAGTTAATGTTTCTGCAGCACGTGGAGTCGTTTTAATCTCGGCACAGGGGAGTTTGTTAAACTATTCCAAGACTATGGTCTTATCGGAAAGGAAGACGGCAAGTTATGATCTGTGTTGCATTAAATCGAGGACCCTTCAAATGTGTTTAAAATGAAGTTAACAATAAGATGTATTGGTTTTATTTTTACACAGATTAAAATATGTTGCGCAGAAAAAAATAACAATGTCGTACGTCTTGTATGCATAAAAAGTGAACACTGACAAATAAAATGTAACTACTGCATGCTAGAATAACTAAGGCCACACTTTTTTATTTTTATGGATGACATCCTCTGGGTACCCCAAAATCGGTGCGAGAGGGCGAAAAANTAATCTACCAGTCGTTAACCCTGGTGCATGTGTACGAGAGGAACTAGATGGTTTGGAAGGGCGCAGGAATCCAGATACATCGGAAAATTTCTTGTAAATTATTGTTTATTCAGAAGTTAAAACTAGACGGTGACTGCTGATGGCAAGGAGTGCAAGTGTGGCGGGTAAATATCTGTCGCACTGAACGAGAGGGAGGGAGGAGGGAAGGCGGGGGGGGGGCGTGGATTAAATTAGAAAAAAGGATAAATTGAACTCATCGTGTGTTACAATAATAATAAAAATAATATTCAGAATTTTTTTATAAGGCACATTCACTAAAAAATACAATTCCCATACAAAGATATTAAAATTTAAAAGATAAGGACTGACACTTAAAAGAACATAATATTGATTTACTTACAAAATTGATAAGTTTTTGAGAGTTGACTTGATTTATGAAATAAATAAAAAACGCATTTTCCCTTAAAAACACGAGTTTGAAAGGAATCTCCAATTGTCGTCTTTCTAATAGTCGACTGTGATTCATTTCAACGCTTTGGAGTATATATATCTCAAATGCACAGTTCTACCTCATATAACTATTACTATGTTAAAGAGAGAGGGAGAGAGAGAGAGGAAGGAGAAGAAGAGTTAAACAGCATGGTATTACTATGAGGCACTTGTCGTTGCTTACTTCGTGCTTACTTCGGTACAGATGGGTCTCTATTTTATGGAGAAGCGGAGCAAGGGGTGCATTAGTCTTACTATAGAAGATTAT